TCATAGATTACGCCGGTTGGGACGTGTTACGCATGTTTCCGGATAAGTTGCCATGGCGAGCGGTATTTGCCGAGGCAGGTAGAGGTTGGAAAAGATCAAGGGCGGTCATACTACAACCTGGTATGAGTTTATGAAGACCCTAACCGTGAGTCTTGGTCACATAGGTCCCGTTTGGCTCGCTTGTTGGGGACCTCCAGATCATGGTCACCGGTGGTTAGGAGACACTGAGGGATACGGTTGGGTGTCACAAACAGTGGCGCTGATACATCTACTCATTATTCTTATGACATCAGTCTTTATAAATTCTCTATCTCCTGTTGGAATTGGCTTTTGACGTTACAATCATCATCCTTCTCTTTTATTCAAATGGGCAACCAAAAGACAGCAATGGAAACCGGCACACTGAAGTGCATGGTTAATGGCTGTAGTAACTGAACCTAACTCGTTTGTTGTATCGTTGGTTTCAAGGTTGTTTGTTCAAAGATTGAACCCAGTTTCGTGAGCGCACACTTTTTAATTATGAGAATCGATACATCATAATAGTCTAATGAAATAGATGCGATATGGATTCAGGTGTCACGGTGCCTGTACGACTACCGCATTATTAAGAAACCCCGTCCCCAGGAGTTCTGGCGGAAAAATATCCCATCAACTGACCATTGGGAGTCTATGTTTATGTTCGAACTCAAATCGATCCTATTTTACCGAACTAAATTTGCCGTACAAATCGTTGCGTTTATTTACTCTTGAATTTGCTCGTCTCCCATTGCTCTTCATTTTTCAGCCATTTCAGCCACGTTGCAAACTGGACAAAACCAAATGTCTTGCAGTGGGAGTACCACGGTACGCAATGAAATCGCACATTCTTCTGGTTTCGTTTTTAAATGATTAGTGGAGGTAATTTGTTGACTTGGTGATCGATGTGCTGAGGCGGGTCGTAGTATGTCTGATAGTATGGTACAGACAATATTTTTAACAGTGGTTTTCACTTGATATCTGGCTATCATCTTTTGGCTTCAATACCAACTCTCCTGTGGACCGTTGTATAAACGGGCCTAATTCAGTGATGGACACCGGAATAAAGGCCTCATTTAAACTGAAGTTGTCTTTATTATTTGCGAAGACTCCAAGTGAATAAAGCGGTAGAAATGGACGCATTATCTTGAACGATGGACTTTCCAATGGCCTCCACTGAGAAGGCTCCTGAATGTTTCCAAAACGGTATTCTGTAACCTGGCTAATTTGCTAAACCCAGTGGGTTCTATAAATGCTAGATTCGCCATTTTCCAATGTGATAACCATGTATCGATTAAGGGTTCAAATTGTCTCTCAGAATCCTCTCTGAAATATGTTCACCGTCCCCGATGGTCGATGTATTCCATACTCCTCCGTTTTCTCAAGTTTTCCGAAAGCCAACTGGCGATTTCAGAATGTGGAATTGATTTATCAGTGCTCTAATGTCGGTAGCGCTGCCGTTTAACTGAGTGCATTGAATGCTCTATAACTTTAAGATATTCAATGCGCTTTTTAGGGAGTACATATTCGTCTACGCAGCTCAATTTCGACACCTGGGTCATAGACTTGGAGTTGACATATCATCATTTCATCTGAGAAAATGCTTCCACCAGTACCAAGTCGATCCGTGGTCACTGTAAATGTTTTTAATAAATCATATCCATGAAAACTAACGCGCTAAAATGAAGGACTTTTTCAAAAATGCGGTCCTTGATAAGAATAATAAATTGTGTTTACAGATAGCACTTTTGAATTTCTGATATCCACACCTCAATCTAACAGCCTAGGAAAAAAGACCAAATCGGATTCCACATGAACCATTCACCAACTGCTCGATTCATTTTTTGGCGAGATGGGATTACCCTTTATCCACTACTACGACATTTTGTCTGGTTTCGATCCACCTATTGATATTGGAAGACGTTTGTAAGCCTCCAGTCATCCACCACAGATACCTTCGATACAATCCAATCAAGGTATTGCTTTATACACCCCGGGAGATGAATAATCAACAGCCACATAGCCACAGTGTGTCGATGAGAAATATAATACAGCAATTAAAAAAAGTAAAACGAACAACAACACAAAGCACACATGGTATTTCCCATCAGTTTAGATTAGTGTTTTGAGCGGATTTTCTGCAACCAGTTCATGGTTTGTGAGAATTCCGGCGAAATACAAGGCAATAGAGCACCCGTCAGCCTCAGCGCGCGCCTTTATAAGTTGATAATTGGAACGGGTGGATTAATATGATGAAATCTGAGAGAACGTTTTACAGGCTTTACGGTGCTGTGCCACCACATACCGTACCAAATGTTCCCGTAATATATGACTACATACCGACAGAAACGAGGGATCGGAAAATGAATTTGTGGTCCGCGGAAGATAAGGAGCCCATAAATCCATTTTGGCAAAATAAAGGCAAAGACAAAATGCCTTGCAAGATGATTTGGCATAAAAAGTAATTTAAAAAGGAAATATAAAACTTGAGCCTTCTGACCTTCAGCAACATGATGGCACACTGGAGAAACTAATTCTCGTACAACGAGGTTCGATCGCAACACATTTCGGGAGACTATTATACCTCATCCACCACCGTCCCCTGTGGTGAGTCGGATACGTTATTCGTCACCCAGATAATCAACCTCATAGATTCTTTCGCTCGAAATAGCACGCGTTTTCACGCTGTCGAAATTGTGGGAAACTAGAAGCGTGCGGGTAATAAGCTTATTGTTCGGCATAACTTCATTGGGTTTGCGCGTTTGGCTACGAAAAGCATTGACACTCTGGATATGAATTTTTCTTGAATCCTCGTGCCTGAGCCCGCTGAATTGCATCAAGGTGTGGGTAATGTGGTCATCTGCAGCGATGTCAACCTTTTATTTCAAAAGATTGAGCTTTGTAAACGGCCTACTTGTTTTTAGCAAGTAGCTAAACACAACGCATAACAAACACGGTTCTGCACCCGCCTACCCGATGCCAGTGTCGATGTTCACGCAGCCATATTATTGTCCATTCCTTTGTTTGGCTTAGAACCTGGCGAGTTTTCATTCTGAAAAGTCACCTACTGTGTGTTCGGTCTCGGTTTAACTAGTCGTGCTTGTGAGGTTTTTTATGGTAATCGATCCTAATTAAACTTCTGTAGGACTGCTACCTCTGTTGAGTATGTTAGGTAGTAATACGCACCCATAGCCGTCTCTGAAAATCTTTTGTTTATCCTTTCAGGTCAGTATTTGAATCACCCTTGGTTAAAGAATTTCTCGATGGTCGGAGTGTGACATTACCAGATGGCACCGTGGTATGTGAACCGACTTCTTTCCCAGCTACAGACGTTGATAATCCAGAGTGATCAATCTTGGTACCAATACCAGTCTGACACCTTTGCTCTTGACGTTCCTTTTTGCTTTTCTGCTGGAAATCAATTACTTATAACAATTCTAAAGATTTGTTATTTATCCAATGCTTTCGGTTTTTCTCATGTTTTTTAGATCACCGCAGACCAAGTTACTAGTCCTGCGCCTCCAACACCAAACTTCCTCATTGTTGACTGCCCCTCCATCGAATTCATTTCAACCATAATGCAATCGAAGCCTTTACTCGATGCGTTAGGTTCGCCAACCGGAGAAGAAAGCTTATTACCAGGACTTTCGTTAGTTGTTCATCTGCTACCTGAGGGCTTGTTCGAATCGGAAGAGTATCAACGCTTTGTTCAAACGTAAGTCGTATTCGGGACCTGTGAAACCGCTCTCAGTTTATTTCTTTCTAAGATAATTATACATCGCAACAGGCTTGCATGCTTATGCGTTGTGAGGAACCTCTTACACAGAACACCACCCTGTTCCCCCAAGGTCTATGCATAAATACCTTTGAAAATATCATTTCATCGAGAGCTGTACGTCATGCTATTTTCCGGTTGTACTTGGTTCGCCTATCGTTCACTAACAGTATCACAATTTTGTAATGAATATTTGGCGCAGTCTACAGGGTTTTGTGAAATTGACGTATAAAAAGTTATCAATCAGAAGATGATGATACAGTTAGAGAATGATGAATTGTGAATCGGCAGTTATGTCTTTCGTTGCGCTACTGTGGACGGCTGAATTAGACAAGCGATGACTTCTATCCGAGTTCGCTGTTCTTTTCGGCGACGAGTAAGTTGGAGAGTAACCTGCATCAAAAATAATGCCTGATCCGAGTCAATGCAAGTAATCCAACACAACAACCGTCTAGTCTTATTTTTTTTACTTCCTTTTATTGAATACACAATGATACAATTTTCAGGAATGGGAAAGCGACTAATCAAAGGGCCTCCNNNGGTGGTAATTTGGTAACGTTACCACCGGGCCACCACCGCCCTGTCACGCATCCGATACGCTCAGTTTTCTAAAGTGTGCGTTACAGTCACCTGCGAGCACAACTATATCGGGGTTTTTACTCACCCGAATGAGTTCCGTGGGTTTGTCTTGGGAATCCTTCTTTTGCATCAGAACTGACTTGTTCGATGCATATGCTGAGATGATGCTAAAATCTTCTTCTAGTGTTACTTTTGGACGCAGATAGACCCGTGGAACCGCATCGAAAATAAGCGACTGTTAATGGGAACTTAATCGATGGGAGAGGCAAGGAACATTTGACTGAGTTCAATCCCTACCTCGTGCTGACCAACTGAATGTGCTTCNCTGAATGTGCTTCGCCATCGCCTTATGTGTGACAAAGTCCCGACCCGAAGGTTCGCGTTTCGAGTCCTGGCAGGGACACGAAAGGTGTGCACCGCTGACCAGTTCCAAATAGGGCGAAACAGCTGTCCAGTGCTCTTTGTCGGTGATCGCAAACATTTTCACCGCACTCAATTAGTGAGGAATTAACGATCTCCCAAGGAGTGAAACCCATACCCAAGGTCATCAACAGTGCCTAGTGCCTGTGAAAAACCGAATGGGTCAATCCAAAGATTCGCCGTCTAAAATTCTTCTCTATTGCCTCTTACTTAAGCAAGCGTAGGATTAGGGTCTACCCAATCTGTATAATGCCTGGGAGAATCTGTGTTGATGTTAATCAAGCTATTTCCATTCTGAAGAATCTGTCACCTCCCCCATACTGAACCCCCTAGTATTTTCAATTCAAAGGCTAAGGTTGAGGCGTTGCTCTCAGATGGGAGAATATAACCCCGTCCGAATTGGAAGCTTTGTACCTTTTTAGATAACTTATTCCCTGAATGAGTTCNCCATTTTTTAAGTGGACGGGTATCAACTAGTGGAAACTTGCCAGTCGAAGCAGAAGTTAACAGATCTAACGACGTCTGCCGGTTTCACGGTGTTTTGAAATGTTCTGCTCATTGTTCCAAATGGCTTTGCTGAAGGTGAATCAGTGTACAGTCAGACACTTAATTGCCGTACCCAATTTCCAAGAAGACGTACTCTTGATTAGACGGAAAACACTGCAACTGTTGTTCAAAGCCGCAGGCTTCTCCCTTTTCCTTACATTTCTCTACCNCTCGTGGTCATTCCGCAGTATCCTGAGATGGTTTTTAGGAGATTTGTGTGCTCTGGTATTTAGCACCTCGAAGAATGTTTCTGCTATCATTCAGCGGAGCAGCAAACGCCAATGAAGTCCATTTGTCGTACTTTGGCCATGTACCAGAGCTCCGCATTGTATTAAACGGAAATTGAAAGCGCTTCCTTCTCAACTACCAATGCTCAGTGCTTCATTCAAAGAGTGGTTTACGATGTTAAGGGGGCAATGCTTTAAAGTCAGTTTTGTAGTTTTCGTTTTCAGTATACCGTTCCTGGCGCGTTGCAGTATCTATACTTTTACTCCTCTCATCCATTCATCGTAATGCAGACTCAACGAATTAGCACGAGAGCACTGCCGGTTTGATAAATCTCGCATATTGGAGCAATACGCAACGTTTAATGGTGCTCTTCTGGACAATCCCATCCAGCATCTGGTTGTGGATGGAACAGGGTGTTTACCAGCGACAATTGGACTATACTCCCAAGCGGCAGTTCTACATCAGTGCTTTGATCGTCGCGTTTACCCTCTTCCATACGATATGCGTTGTGTCGAGGCGAAACAAGTAGGTTTGCCATGGCTTTTATTCGTTTTTCTTGTCTTCAAGCAATAGCCTGCTCAGAAAAACAATCAAATTATCGATCATGTTTTTACTTCTGTTTATTTATTGAACAGGTATCGTTACAAGGGGGATGCTACCAATCAAAGGGTAACTTGGACAATACAGGCATAGGAAAAATGGACGGCGATGACAGGAATTTAAGATCTCTTAGTGGCTGTTGGGATTAGCTTAATCACCGACCGCCACCTCCGTCATCCGACGAATGATGTAAAAGATAAACTGTAGAACTGTGCGTCGAAAGGGATGCGGATGAACGATGAGGATATTTATATATTGATTTCCAAGTGGAAGACTGCATACTCAGTTATCTTCTATTAGTAAATAGAAACTAAAGGGTAGGAAACCTGATTAGTTCTCACTCGAAGGAATGCTTTTTTGTCCATTGTTTGTAAACATCTCCTGACGCTTGTCTTATGTCTAAATTGGGATTTTACGATCCCTGATTATGTTTATTGAGATTTATGGTTGAATTTGATTATTCTCTGTCTCTTCCCTGTTGCGGCCGTAGGCTTCCGAAGAGGCGTTAAAACACCTACCAGAACCACACACACCCGTGGTTCACGCACAGCCTCAGACACATTATATGATCCGACCATGGTACGGCTTTACACGGTGAGTGCGTTTGTTTTTTGTGAGTCTGGATGAGAATTGCCGCCGCTGCATTGGCCAAATGTCCCTCTGTGTTACTGACAAACCTCCACACGAAACAAAGTTGCAGTGAATGACAACAACGCTGGATATCCATTTCATCAATGATGGTATTGATCACATCCTTTGTGTCCTTTTTCAAACTGAAACCACAAACATATATATATATATATATATATATATATATATATATATATAGATCACGTACGTCTGAGTTCAGACCGTGTGCCAAACATACTAGCGGTACAATAATCTCCATCAAATGAAATGTAGGCCGGATACTGACACGTTGCCCAGGCCAAAGCAGGCGAATTCGCTTGAGGAATCCAAAATCGGAGCCTGCTGCTAACCAAAGCCCGAGCTGCAAGGCAGCGGGGAGCTGTGTGAAAACCGCAATCCGTTGGGGTCGCTGTCTAGTTCATCGGATCATTCGCCCTTCAGACAAGGTCAAACGTCCAAGGTACCCAATACACCTCGACGCCCAATCGAGTCGATGACCACTACTACAACCAGAAAGGTGTGGATGGTTGTGGTTCTCACGCCTCCTCTTTTTTCGTTTGAAAAACAGGGTTTTTGGCGAACTCCCCTAGATGAAATACTAGTGGTCCATCATTTCGGTTATAGTCGCTGATATTGGTTTTTTGTCCTCTCACTTTGGTGGGAAAACACCACCAAGAGAAATCAGTGAACAGGGCGTCGTCAGCAGAAGCTCTTTGAGGCTTTTGGTCGTACGGCAGCTTTCGCGGGATGCTAGGGAAGAGTGACCAACCGCAACCCTAGACGCCCACCTCCGACTATGCTAAGTATCCAGGTTTAGAGTTGACACTCAGACTAGAAAATGTAGTCACTATATGGCTCCACGTTTCTCAGTATGTTCCTGTCAATCGCATTCGGGTAGTTTCTTCAACAGAACTGCTCACTATAATAAAACATGCTCGATACACTGCACTGATCACCTGATTTTTGTCTTATTATATTAATATTGGTATTATCATTAGCTGTTTGATCGATAGAGTTGTTTTTGCAGTTCAACGCATAACACCTGTGTCTATATTTTAGTCATGGTGCTTACTTTGAAAGTAA